TCAGATTATGATTCTCAGAATCAGTCTGATTTTGTGTCTGAAGAAAAAGAAAAACAAATCGTGACACCAATACAATCAGTTTTTAACTTTTTTTTCTCATGTAGAATAGATATTATATCACATGCACATAGTATTCACTGCACAGTCTTAGCTTATACACACAGACAATGACACTCACCAGGCTCTGCAGCCACAGACATGCCTACTTTTGTTGGCTGCAGGTCTATGCGTTCTTTATTGCTGATGGGAAACCTCTGAAGCAGGTTGCGGATGAAATATAAGGAATTGTGGGAGGGAGTAAGGGACATGGTAGGCCGAGGTTTGTCTGAACCATCTTTCTTCCTGATGGTAAGGAGGCGATTTGGTCCTTTCCTGAAAAAGAAGAAAAGAAATGTCTTCCACTTACACACTTATTAAAACACATTTTTGGCTTGTGTTTATTGAGAGCCAAAAACTGGTGCTGTAAATGATCCAAAAATCTCAGGGTGGTCTTAGTTTTGCATTACATTTGGTCCTGTTAAAAAAATGACAACCTGGGTCTTATTTTTGTGAGTTTGAGAAGACAATGTCCTTCAGGGGTATTTTATGTCTTTATTAGAAAGAGAGTGAGTTTCTTTTGTTTTTCTCATCTCATTACTGAACTGTATTATCTTCAGTGCTTTAGCAGTAGTGGTCACTTGACCTTCATGCCAAAAAAGCATACTGAATAGGAAGACAAATTTAGATGAGGAATGACATGCATTAAAGACTCAAACTAAGGATTTCGCAATTTGTCATCAGTAGGTTAAAACCCCTCAACTACCAGGGTTCTGCTCTATTTGAAAAGTTTCCTGAGATAACTTCTGGTTATAATTACCGCTATACAAATAAAATTGAATTGAAAAAAAAAAATTTAATCATGGGGTATAACTGTAGCCACAGCCTGTAATTACACTTTTGAAGTCTACATTAGCTACAGTATAGCCTACTGCAGCTATGTGCGTGGGCTCTGAAGCTACACAATGACTCCTTAACACAGAACTACAAATCTAGCTTTAATGTAAAAAAAACTTCTACCCCTTTGAAAGTGAGTGTATGTTAGTAAATTACATTTACATAATTCCTCAGACAATTGGTCAGCACAGGTCCTTGTGGGGGAACTTACCCTTTACTCTTGGAGATGTAACCAAAGGACTGTGCCATTCGATGAATGAAAGCCCTCTCAGTACTGGACAAGGAGGAGGGAAATTCCATCTCTGTTCAGTCGGGGAAAGGAAAGGGTAATTAGGACAATCATACTATCCTTCTCACACTGGCACAAGTACTGAGCATTACATTGGCATACCTCTGTCATATACAATTAGCGAATGCTTTGCTAAGGTTGACCAAGTGCTCTGCTCTTACTTTCTAAAAAAATAAAAACAGTTGATACCTTTCAGATCACTGTAGCGAAACCTCTCCAGAGAGAGGTTCACTGCTATCTTGACTTCTTCATCGATGTGAATTTCTTTGAGGCCGCTGGAGATAGAACCACGGGGTGGCGTCCTGGCTGGTTTTTGTGAACCTGTAGCAGCATTCAACATGGTGCACTGCAACAAAACAACGGTTATCTTACCAAAGGGATAGCAGGAGTTCTTGTGTTCATCAATGTGAACAAAACAAACACATTTCCTACAGCCATCTATTGCAGACTATTATAATGTTTATTAAAACTGCTGAAAGTTTTATGGAAATTCCGTCTTCTGAATGTACTCAGAATACAAGACAAGGCGACTAATAAGAGTAATGGGAACACTTAGAAAACACACAGAGTCCGTCAGGTCGTGTTTACATATTCTTTCATCAGATGTTTCCTGTCTTAAGTCATACTTTCTCCAAACTTTTCACTCAGATATACTAAAGCGAGAGTTATCTTGGTGCAAAGTAAACGGTACAAAGTTATATTAAATCACAGTATACTGTCATATTATTCCAGCAAACTGAAAAATTAGGCTTCTTTCGTAGAAGGGGGACACCAACGATTTTACACATACAGGTCAGTTTACCAACCATGAGGAGTACTGAGTACTACTCAGCCTCTTAGCTTCAGTGCTGCTTACAACTTGGCACAGTGCCTGAATTGAACCAAAGAAGGCGCCAGTACCCCAATTCAGCTCAACCCTAACCCTAAACAGAACATACCCCAAACTCTAGCTCTCTTGGTATTTTACATCCATACAAGGACATTTTCAGGGCTGTTTTCATTTAGGCAGACTTGGTGACCTCGGTGGTGGGTATGGCCATGCTCACCAGATGTGGTGGTACCCAATAAGAAGTAAAGGAACTCAGGTGGATAAAAACTAGAGGTGCCACTGGTGAGTATTGGCCCATTTCCGGCACTCTCTTTGCACAATAAACATTGGTGGATTTTTTTTGTATCTGGAGAACAAGATGTGTAGGTCTGAACATCTCTGCAGCACTATAGTACTTAATTATAATGCTGTTTGTCACATATTTTACCTTTATCAAAAAGGTATTTGGATATTGAACTTAGCTAAATTGTGCAGCCATACTTCCTTTGGCTCTACCTTCCGAACTTAGTGACTAAGTGGCTAAAGGGCTACATGATAATATTGGGGAAATTAGACCTATGCAGAACGGTGGTAAATAGCCATGTGGAAAATGTGTTCAACTTCCTCCATACACAGTAGAGGACTGCGCGCTGCAGTAAATAACCCCTTAACACAAATAATCTGCAAATGATTTAAAATTGTGTAATTGCTTGATTGATTGTAAATAATAATGACTTTCGCATGCAGTGCAAACTGTCCCGAGAGCAATTGTTAAATTTCCGGCTATGCAATTTCAATGCATCGCCCTGAGTGTCGGGCCAACTGACAACTGACATTAAGCAAAAAAATATGTAGTACGCCCAAGCAATGAAAGCTGCCTGGAGGAAAAACGCACATTCTCACGTTCAGTTCACTTTTAGTAACATCCGAATGTGACGTGAACAATGGCGTACCGCACGAATTTTGTGTGTACGCAACGTTAGTACATGAGGCCCCTGAACTTGACAGAAAAAAACTTGAAAGCTAGGATTTACTTAATTTCTGAGTTACTTACCAGACTGGAACTAACTTGTACTATACGATAAACCGGTAGGTCAGTATAATTTCGAGCCACTGGGTAGCGTTACTTATATTGATAGCAGAAGCATTGCTGTGGTGGAATGTTAACGCTAGCTAAGTTAGAGAAGCGTCTACGTAAGTGGCCGGTGTGTTTCATTGAATCGGTATCGAAACTAAGCTAAGTTAGCTGAACGGATGAGACACAAATGTGTATATAACGTTATATAAAACTGTAGCTAGCTATATGTCTAACCTTGTAATAAAACTAGTTAATTCAGATACTGTGCCTTGATTAGTGAATAGCTTCGGCAGTGCTCTCAAACGAACAGCACTGACTAGGACAACTCCATTGAAATGTTCCGTGTGTTTCTGTTCCGCTGTGTTCCGCTGGTAGTGCCGCCAACAACGAGTACATCCGGTCCAGCTCTTTCAGAATGAAAGAGTTATTACTACAAACCTAACGTGGACCTGACAACTGATATCATATCAGTTTGTAGGAATAATTGATCATCAAGCTACACGTTCTATCTTACTGAATCTTTCTTTATCAAAATAAAAACACGTGTATATGATATATGTGTAATATGTATGTGTTAAACTCATTTCTTAAACCATAAGTAAAGTAAAACATTTCTGGCTCAATTATATCCTCCACAATATCCTGCAGTATAGGAAAAATTCACATCTCAGATCATGTCCAAGTGATGGTCAACATTCTCCCCTTTAAGTCCAGTAGGACCTCAAGATGGAGTGCAGTATTAATTCAAGCCTTCTACTAGTGCTGGCTTCAGACAATCTTTAAGGATCCAGTGTGTAACATTTAGGATGATCTATTGGCAGTTAGTGTATAATCAGCTGTTGCAGAGGACAGCCATGTTGAACCGCCATGTTTCTACCATACTGTCAATGGTTTCGACAGTAGCCCTGAAGGGACACTTGGGTTAAATGTTCGCCACGACTGAATTTTGTGCAAAGTTTTCATGCATGTTTAGAGAAATAACGTTACATAAAAGTATAAAAATCACATTTCATTTCGCCACTAGGTGGCACTGCTACTTTTACTGAATATTATCACATAACTTAGATGTGTTCAGGACTGGAGTCTTATCAAACGTGAAGTTCCATTGAGGGGTGGGACTGTTACAGAATATGTGTAGTTTAGTGTTATTGGACATTGTACACTTAAATTATGAGTACTTCCTGTTTAATGGCGAAATGGCGAAATTTGACGCGACGCAACGCCACGGGCACGCGGTTCAACATACAGTCACAAATAGCACAACTTTTCATCTGCAGTTTGTTTTAATTGTACTGACCAATTTGAAATTGATTTGAATTCTCTAGGAGGAGTTTGATTAAATAAAACGCGAAAAATTGCCGAAAATGACTGCTGCGGCCACGTCATGTGCAGGCTTAACACGTTTGGACAACAACATGAAAATTTCACGTAAATCAGATTAAAATCTCCCCGCAACGCTTACTTCCTGTTGCCAGTAGGGGCGCTATCACTATATCTGAATGTTGGCATGTAGACCTGTTCAGGGCGGGACTCTTGTCAAATATATGAAGTTTGGTGCAGATTGGATAAAATACACTGAAAATAAATTTTTTTGATGGCGATACATTGAAATTAAACACCACTTTAGGACATACTGTTCAATGAAATCGCCACATTCATAAAACATCAACATCTCATGATGCATATTCTTACCAAATAAAGCTGATCTGATGAACCTGTAAGGAGCAGACCTAAATATAAAACATCTCTCTTCCTGTTGCCAGTAGGCGCTATCACTATGACTGAATATTGGCATGTAGATTAGTAAGAAAGTAGACCATTTTACAATTTAAAATAACTCTGAAATGTTTGACATAATGTATATTTTAAACTAATGTTAATAATATAACAAGTCAACAGCAGACAGTGAAAAAAACAACTTTATTAATATTCACATTTTATTTCAAAACACCACTTAAGCCAAATGACAACTTTAGATCACTGTACAAGAACCCCCAGTGACAAACATCCCAAAAACATACAAAGATACGATATTATGGAGAAAATATAAATTGTTAGACTGTGGGTCGAACTTTAAAGACTTCTAAAACACTAACTGATTTTATGAAATTAGCTTGTTTTCAACTCTAGTTGCTGGAAACCCCTTACTGTGGCCCTTTGTAAGAGTCATTTGTAATGTTTTTGAGAATAACTTATGTTCACAGTACTTTAACACAGTCACATAATGTCAGATAATGAAGAATATAATTGTGGAAATCTTAACAGGAATTTAAATCTGTAAACCCTCTAGTCTGCAGGACAGAACAGCTTTTGATTACAAGACTGCTGAAACCCAGACAGACATACACGAGTGGGAACACCACAACAATGTATGAAAGTCCTGTGGCTGAAAATATATTAGGATTAAAATATTTAATCAAACTGAAATATAATTTTCCCATTTGTGTGTGCATGATTTACGGCAAAATTAAAATGTTAAAATCAAATTTTCACATATATGGTGGAAATTATGGTGGTGACTTCCATACCACAGATTAATTTTCCATTACATTCTACTTTTATGGATAAAATCTTGGTAATATAGCCAGTAACACTGTTAATACATAAAGCCAATAACACTGTTAATACCCACCTTTCTGAAGAATGAAGGAAATGATCAATGCCTAAATTATTAAATTTTAAAATCAATATTTAACATGATACACTGAATTACGGCCCAAATTCACTAAGATAACACAGCTGAAAGTATGCAATTTTCACTGACACCTCACATGTGCTTTGAACTGATTATGTTCTTAAAACTATTGATCTTTTGCCTTTAAAAGACTAATTGTTAGCCTGAGCAGTTTCTCTTGTCTATGGGTTTTCACCTGCAGATTGAATCATTAATCTGGGTATTAAAAAATTAATTGGTAACATCCTTGCCTGGATTATAAGGTAAAAAGTGTCAGAGGCCATAGTTTGATGTTGTTACAGGAGAAACACAGCGCTTTGTCAGTAGTCAAAACATTTCATGATGGCCTCTCTGTCAAATTTGAAATTGAGGAAAGCCTTGGAGGACAGCAGGTGCTCACAGACTTTGCTGTGGTATTCGTTGGAGCTGCATGGAGCCACATCTGTGAAAAGAAAAGCTCATTACATGTTTCATTTGTGGACAATGCTCACTCAGTCTTTAATCTTACGAGGGTCTGAAGCTGTTGTGAACAGTATTTTTTTATTCCCAATTTGGTTTGCTGTTGTCCCAGCATACAATTAAATGTACACTTTTTGTACCACAACCGCTGCCCATTTCCCCCCCCCCGACATACATTCAGTTCATTACAGAGCCACCTGGGGGTCAATCTATAATATTAATAACTTTAACATCTGTATATTATGCTTATATGGTGTATATTGTTAATTAAATTAACTACCATACAACATACCTGGAGCAGGGTAGTGTTCTAGTGTAGAAATACTTGGTTTCAGGGGTACATGGGCAAAATGGGTTGGGTAGGGGGGTGTGTAGGGCCCTCTTAAAAACTGCTCATTCTAAGGTAACAAAAAATATTTTTACTTTCAAACATACCTATGAATCCTAAATTGCATTTTTGCCAAAAGATTCTCCTAAATGTTACACATTGGACCTTTAAGAATATTCATTTCACATTTTTCATACTGTTAATTCTTACCATACTGTAATTGTGTATTGTATTCATATCTACCCCTTACTGTTTATTCTATACATACATCTATCTGCACTATTGATTTTTGCATTCCTGGTTAGATGCTTAACTGCATTTCATTATCTCAGTCAGACAATAAAGCTAAATAAAAATTTTCCAACACCAGTTATTATATGTGTTTTCATATATCAGCAATGGCAATTGATTACCAAATACTGATTATTTTATGGGCCCCCTATTTTTCCCACAATGTCCTAAGACAGAACTAATATGGCATTCATAGTCTCCTGGAAAGTGTTCATGTGGTACATTAATTCAAACTGTCCTTTGTCTGCATCGGATACTGCATTCAGTGGTTTGGAAGTGTTTTTGACAGGAAATGTTCAGTCCCGGCAGAGTCAGCTAATAGGACCGCTACAGCTACTTGACTGGGGGGGACACACAGTGCTATTGGCTACAGCAACAAGTCCCACCTGATCTGCCTGTGTGGAAGTAAACAGCTCTCTGATTTCCGCTTCAGCTGGACTTTAAATTTGTCTAGAGCCAAGCTTACAATTTAACATAATAATAGCAAAGTGACTGAATATTTTCCTGGGTTTAAATGGACCAGCTCTTTTAAGAAAATTCCTCCAACAGCTTTTCAACTCAACATACATACACCACATACTGTAAGCTCAAATATAGTTTCACTGAACTTGGTTTTCCTGTTTTCCTATATGTATTGCCAAATGACATTCTGCTGCATGTCCAAGTGAAAATTAGTAAGTGTGTGAATGGAATACAATTTGGTCACACTGGTTCAGACAATGAGGTTGGCAGAATGGACTGATTCACTAAGCGTCACACTAATCACGATCAGCAAACTTTTTTGCTCATTTGTAGCCAGATTTCTTTGGCTGGTTAAAACAGCAAACGTTGCCTGTGGCAGATCACATCAACTATTGTTAATTAACTTCTCATTCCAAGTGTAACTAGATGTCTGTACTTGACAAAAGAAGCATCAGTCTGTAATACCACTGTACAATTGCAAGTGGACTGAGTGTTTCTGTAGTTCCAACAAATCCAGCAGAGGGAGACAAGATAGATCTCTTTAGTGGATCGCGTCACGTCAGTTTTAGCAGTTGCTCCAAGTCGATCAGTTGATCAAATCAGGCTCGGTAGATATCCAGTATTAAAGGAAGTATTAATGATGTCACATTAGCAGTTACAGTGCAGCGGTGAAAGTATTTTATAGTTATATATATTTAGTTTATATACATATATTAGTTTAGCAGAATGGGTACGACCTCAAAGTTAGACATGGTAATGCAAACCATACCTCTCTCAAAACTGTCTTGTAGTCTTCTGGGTTGAATTCTTTTATCTTCTTTCTGTAGAAATATTATAAGATTACACTTTGTAATTGCAACTTGAATAAGTGCAAGAAAATTTCAGAATGTCAATTTCACTTTTTGAATGTTATCACGTGATCTTACTAAAGTAAAAACAGCATCAGAGGTAAAATATGGTTTTGTACTTACTAAAATGGTTTTCACCTGCTGGTTACTGGCTCCACTGTCATTGGCTCCTTTCTTTGTATAAGGTGACTCATGACATTTCTTCCCATTGCCTTTCAAAGTTAGGTTCTATAAAGCAAAGAACAGAGGTTATGAGGTAACTGATGTAACAACTCTCAAGCCACTGACAGCTTCTATTAAGGGGCTTTATCAGTAAAACAGGCTGAGCCTGCACTTAAAAGGTCCAGTGTGTAGGATCTTGTAGCATCTAGTGGTGTAGTTGCAGATCACAACCCTGTCTCCTCGCCCTCCCCTTCTAAGTGCGAAGGAGAAACTACAGTGAGAAACAATGCTCCTATCTAGAGTCATTGTTTGGTTTGTCCCTTCTGGGCTACTGTAGAAACATGGCAGATCAACATGGTGGACTCCATGGAAGGTGACCCGCGGTGTCTGTAGGCTCATTCTAAGGCTGTGCACGTTGGCTCACTGGAACGGCTCTGCTACACTAATAAATGGAACGGAACCTTAATTAGTATCATTGGTAAAGGTTGTTGGTTCGATCCCCGGGTCTTTCCCCCTGCATGTCGAAGTGTCCTTGAGCAAGATAATGAACCCCAAATTGCTCCCTGTCATCAGTGTGTGAATGTGCATGATTGAGTTAGTTTCTTTTTGATGGGCTTTGCCGTCGCTGTGTAAATGTGTGTGAAAGGGCGAATGTTGGATGTAGTGTAAAAGCGGGCTTTGAAGTGGATCGAAGACTAGCAACGGTGCTTTAACTACGAGTACATTTACCATTAAACAAGACCAACGATTACCGACAGCACTGTGAAGCACCCTGCTGTCCTTCCGGCTTTCCTCCAATTTCAAATTGGACAGGTTCAACTGAAAATGTTTTGACTACTGACAATTTCCTGTGAAGTGCTGTGTCTCTCCTGTAACATCATCAGATGGAGAAAATTAGCAATATTAACTATTCACAACATCCTTACGACATTAGACCATCGCTGATATATCCTGCACAACAGACTCAGAACTTAAAAGCTTTCTGTAAGAGTAGAAAGTGCACATGCGCTGAAAGCTGCTTGTAGCCTGTTTACAGTTGTCAGCCTTTGAGTCTGCTTTTAACTGTACATTTTAAATTTTAAACAGTGTTATATATATATATTAAAAATTTATATAATTTCTAAATATATATATGTTGTATAGATGGAGTTTGTTAAAAAGTAAATTTCCCCCTGGGATTATTAAGTATTTTCCTGTTCTGATAAAATTTAACATTGAAATTCAAGGCTTTTAAGCTATATGTTTTTAATATACAGATAACAAAAATGACAATAAGGATAATGAGTTGGTAATGGAAAACTCAGATGAAAAAGAAAAAACTTGCACTCAAAGAAGATTTCAAGGGACCCTGACAGAAAACTCGCAGAAATTATTGAGGCAATGGCCAAAGGAGAATCTGCATTACACAATCGAGCACTGCATGCCAACAAGTAAAGCATATGAGAAGATTGGTTAAAAACAGTTTAGCCTTACCTAGCATCGCCTTTGAATCACACTGAAACC